TCTTCTCCATAGCCTGAAGGTGGACATCAGCTAAGACAAACAGTTTGATAAGTTTCTATTTCCCTAAAATGGGACTGAATGAAATGCTCTTTTCCCTGGGGCTGCCATGTAGTCAGAAGTTGGGGATTGTCCATGGTTCAACCCAAGGCTGAGAATGCAGAGCCAGGAGATGGCGAGGTTGGATTTGAGTGAAGAAAAGAGGGGGGTTTGATTTCATGCCTGGTGCCAAGGTTTGTGCCATGTTTTATATGATCCTGGTATCCCTGTCCTGGAAGGTAATGAGAGTCCTCCAGCAATGAAGGATTTCCTGAAAAACTGTGCATTAGAGAACCATGACGGATGTGTAGAATGAATTACCTTTCCTATGTGAAACTTTGATTATCCATTGGTATCTCTGCAGAGCAGAGTGATGTAGAGTTTCTTCATAGTTGCAGTTAGACTTTCTTTCAGGACTTGGTTTCCTGTGAGGTCGTGGTCTTTTCACGAATTTCTGGTCAGTGCTTCTGCCTTTGAAACCGTGTCTGTGGTTTGACAGCAAATGCTTCCTTCAGCCACCTTGGGCAGAATATTTTATGTGAGGAATATGGAGAAAAAGCACAAAGGGAATCTGTTGTAATTTCTCTGAAGGTTGAGCTTGGGAAAGGGTCCCATGACGAAGTGCTTGATATCTGTGGGAGGTGAGCAGGCCACAAAGTAGAATTGCTGAGAGCTGATGACTCTTTCTTAAAATGAACACCATAACTAGGTAGTCGGTGTAAGACTTTAGGGCTGCACTTGCAACTTGAGAGCTCAGTGACTTCCAAGTGCTTTCAGAGATGAATTCCAGTGAAGAGCCTGAAGATTTCCCAGTGACGTTCTCTGATCACCCCTTGTCTTCTCATGCTTCCTGGCCTTGCTTCTCTGATTTCTTAGTTTCACATGTCTGCAGGTTTCCCTGTATTGTGATGCTTTACTGCTTTGGTTCTCTGATTTACATTTTTGGGTTTTCTTTCTTAGTTTGACATGTCAGAAGGTTTCCTTGTATTTATCAGCAGTCCTTCATTCAGCAATGCATGGTGTGTTTGTGCCTCTTGTTCATGCTACAGCAGGTGTGAAAGGCTGGAGGTGTGAAGATGTCCTTGAGTTTTGTTACTGTCAGACCTTTGTTACTAAGACCTTAGCAGAAGCTGTAAGTCTGTGGAACAGCGTGGATGGTAAAAGAAGGCAGAAGATTCTCTCTTAGTCATTCCTTTGATGAGCCATTCTGTATTGGATGACCATTCCTCTTTTATTTTGGTGGTTTATAATTTTGTGGACTTTAAAATGCTTCCATTTCTTCTGAGAATGGTGGTGAGCAGGCAAACGTGCCTCCCTTCTTGATGTTACTGTAGTGCATTATCACCTCATGGTAAATTTTGCCAAGGATGAGAGGGTCACAAGTAAAGCTGCCCAGTTGTGTAGCAGCAAAGAGAAGACAGGAGAGCTCTGTGTGTGAGACTGTAGAAGGACATGGTCATTCCCTTGCTTATCAAATGTCACAGGTAACACCTGCATGTACCTGATGGGGTACCATGTAATGTGAGCTGCTTCTGAACAGTGAGGCCTACGAAATGTTATTACACCTGATCTGTTCCTTTCTGTGTGTTCCCAACTCTTGGCTTTCTTGGTGTCATGAGCTCAACCTCAGGCTGTCTGCTCTTATGTGGAAGGTCACTTCTCTTCTGATTGTTCCACCACAGTTGAGATCCCTGACACACCTGTGATGTTTACAGCTGTGAAGAGGAAGCTTTCACAGGCCTATGTGCTCAGCCAGGCA